TGCGTACTAGAATGTGATAATATGCAAACCATTTCTGTGATAATTCAAATTTATATTACTATATTTTCATTACCAGACAAATAAATGTTTCCTATCCTTTAGTTTTGTCTCATTACCATTTTCCTATTCAAAACAGGGTAGTATGGTATTTTTAAATTCTTTCCTAAAATACCTCAATCTGCAACCATCTTGGTGTAATCAAACATCAAGGACCAAGAAAGATATCCGAGACTTCTGCTACAAAATTCATTGTGGTTTTCTTGACAACGTGAAGAAAGTTGACATCCATTTTCTTTAAATGAATCTTCTCAGTGGTCTGACGAGGCATGTGGAACACTTTAATTCTTTGTACAAAAGTGAATAAGTGAATGATATTATTTATACTGATGCAAGAAGGAATGGCCAGCTTGATGAAGAATGATTTAATCTCAGGTTGATGGGTTGTTAATATGCCTCCAGCCATGGAGATGTGATAACCCAACCAGTTATAGGTCAGGTCCAACAGCACCTATCCTGACTGAATAAATAATGTGGCTATTATCTATAGCACCCTGGCTGGCAAGACATTGCCAAATTTGTGGTAGTAACATTAAGCTTACTACTCAAAATCTATAGAAATTATCATCTTACAAAAAACACACCAACTTTGATACATGGTGACTTAGTATATACAGTATCTGTAAAATAACAATTACAAAGGTCACTGTCATATTACCAATTTCATCCTCAAATCTATCATTACTAAAACTGTAAATGAATCACAAACAGCATTGTATGAAGTACAATGAATAACAGGTTTCAAAGTCACTCAGCTATAAATGTATCACATTCCTTGTTAACAGGAGGAAGAACATTAGGTCTGGGTTCAGTCATAGATGTTGGCTACATTTCTCTCAAAATTGGGTACAATAGTGGGGTACAAACTAACCTTGGAAAATTGTTTAGAAATGGTTTGCAACAAAAAAACTTCACTAAAGAAATGCCAACCTGTTAAAGCTAAAAACTATAAACAAAAATAAAAAAAAGTGTAGGAATAACAAAATGAAAACTACAGTAATTTTAAATCAAGTTGTAAACCATATGCTTTTGCTTGTCTTCAGTTACAAACAAAGCAGAAGAGAGAAACTGCAAGATTACTCAAACCTGCAGCAAACAAAGTATTCAGAAAAGAATTTGACCTTAACATAAATACTGTACAAAAAAACTATGTGTATTGAATATTCATAAAGAAAAACAAATAAACCTATAAATATTACTCAACAAAACAAGATCCTACATATTATCATATATAATCACCCCTAATCTTTTTTTTTCTATACACTCAAGATGAATAGGAAGGCCTAATCAGTGCCCTCACTTACTAAAATGTAATAAACTATGGCATATGAGTATACAGTAATTAGCTGATCATCATTAAATGTAAAGAATTTTTTCTTTACTGGGGAGACTGTAAGGTTAACATGGATTAATGTATCCTCAAGCTTTTATCATGACACTCATTATTTGGAAGGCAGGTGCAGGTGCAGGGTGTGTGCAGAGACATGCAGGGGGCCTTCAGTCAGAAACATAATCTACCTCCCTGGCAAACAAAAAGATCAACTTCTAAGAGCCAGCCAGAAAAGTACTCCAGCTGCAACTGAAGGAAAACAAGGCAAAGCTAATGATGACAAGCAGTTACTGCAGAAAGTAAATAGGACAAAATTTATACAGGGGTAAAGCTAGTTTCGTTATTATTGTTATGCAAAAGCGAAAGTGTTGCAGTAACTACTTGCCATCATTCAGCAAAACCATTCATTCTGGTCCCTATATTTTTTTTGGAGTGCAATGGCAGTGCTGTGTATTTAAAGGGAAGTGCAAGGACAACAATGAAGACAGCAGTCATACTCCATTTAAGCTTTCATACACCCATTTTAAAATAAGTAACAGAACACCAAGCCATTCCTGAAACTTTGATATAAAAACCAGTCCTGCCTAAATGTGCCTCACTGGCTGTATATTTTGTACTCAAGAGACGACCAGTTTGTGAGACATCGAGGGTAACTTGTGGTTCTGGTATCTCTCTGTCCTATCCAATTATTCTCTTATTATAGCTCATGAAACACTATTTTTTGTATTTCTCTGTGTGTGTGTGTGCATGTGCTTGTGTTAAGTGTGTGTGTGTGTGTGTGTGTGTGTGTGTGTGTGTGTGTGAGAGAGAGAGCGAGAGAGCGAGAGAGAGAGAGAGAGAGCGAGAGAGAGAGAGCGAGAGTGAGAGCGAGAGCGAGAGCGAGAGCGAGAGCGAGAGAAAGAAAAGGGGGAAGAGAAGGAGAAGAGAGAGAAAGAGAAGAGAGAGAAAGAGAAGAGAGAGAAAGAGAAGAGAGAAAGAGAAGAGAGAGAAAGAGAAGAGAGAGAAAGAGAAGAGAGAGAAAGAGAAGAGAGAGAAAGATAAGAGAGAGAAAGAGAAGAGAAAAGGAGAAGAGAAGAAAAAGAGAAGAGAGAGAAAAGAGAGAAAAAGAGAGGG